TGACGCATAGTCTCTGCAACCGTCAAATCTTCCAACCGCCATCACACACCTCCAAAAATCCTGAATATGCGTCGGACGTTCGCTAACCCGCGCAGACAAAAAGCAGCTGTGATTGGTCCTTGGTATGCCTTTCCGGCTGTCCGTGTGGTCGTCTTTCTGGATTTTTAAAAACCGAGGAACAACTACAATGGACAACTACGACGAAAGGTTAATCGTGGAGGTTCGGAAGTACAACCACTTGTACGATGCCTCAGAGAAATGATATAAAGATGCCAAAGTCTCTGCCAAAGTTCTCGCAAGTTCTCGAATAGGCTCCCCCTTGTGTTTTTATGGGAAACTGCTATTCGTCACTAGAAATTCCAAAACAACGGAGCAGAAGCATACCAGAAAAACAGGTTTGCGACCAAAACCAAGCGACATTTGATATGTGCAGATGCAAAAGTCTAATCTGCCCTTAAGTGTCAGAAAGGTCGGTCAGTCAATTGAAAAAGCTTCCTGGATGGGAAGCGAAACGTCTTCGTTTTTTAAAAAGAAATAGAGGGCAATCCAGCGCAGTCATCTTCATTTTGCTTCCACCTTCCACCTCTGGTTGACGCGCTGGCGTCTACGTCACTTCTTTTCACTGGTCCTAAAAATGTCAAGATGTATTTACGGGAGTTTGTAAATTCCCAAGTCTTGTGACAATTAAGTTCCAGCCAAGACCTTTTATGCAACCACAGTATTGAGAACGAACTTTATAGTAAAATCATTTCCAATATGCTTACAAAACACTGCAAACATCAGCGATCACTAAACTCCAAACATTTCCTTTCGATCACTTACATTCGACATTCCATACATTTCTGACAGAAGCTTAATAGTTTAGAAATGGTAACATAGAGGCAAGATAACAACAAACGGTTAAGTAAATAAATCGACTGATCAAATATAGACGACCTTTACAGTATAACAGGTGTACCTGTTGGCAGGGGGGGGGATTTACTATTAGGCAATACTAGGCAGTTGCCTAGGGCCCCAAATTGCTGGGGGCCCCATAAAACTCAGTTTACATGTATG